GAATGAACCCATGGCTCCATGCAGTCTCTTATCTTGGTGGGGAGGTGCTGGCAGAAAGGAGATAGCAAGAAATCTGTAGCTACCAGCCTCCAACGCGCCATGGGCTGCCACCATCCCATCCTGGGTCTTCTCTTACATGTTAAGCTGACCCTCTGTTCCCTGTCACGGGAGGCCCAGAAAGGAAGGTGTACGACAAACCTCCTTATCGATGCCTTGCACACATGCCGCAAGTACACAGCAGGTACTTCTGCCATGGGTGCAGGACGGAAAAGAGATGACCCCCAGCCGCTGCTTACACACCCAGGTAAGCAGTGAACCCAGCAGGACTAGCAGCGATAGAGCCACATGCTCCACCTCGGCACCACAGCTGTATCACACCTGGAAGCATTCGGTACCTGCAGCACCTGCAGTCCCAAGCTCGTGCCCTGCCACGCAGCAAGCTGCTCTGTGGCATTCACTGCGCTGTGCCTCTGCCACCCCAGCCACCCGCGCAGAGCCAAGCCCTCCTCCTGCGGTGGGGAGCAGGAGCGCTAGAGGCAGCCACGCACCCCCTCGCCTGCCGCAGCTACTGACGCTGCCCTGGGCCAAGCAGGCACCAGAGCAGTGCAGAGCCAGCAGAGATCTGGGAAAGGAATGAATGGGAGGAACAATACTAATACAGGGGTCCTGGACCCCCGAAAGATGGAAAATCGGCCAGGATCCCGGCTCTGCTGTTCAGAGGCAGGGGATTCCTTAGTGAGGTGAGAGTCTGAGGAGCAGTGGATTAGCAACAGGGTTAGACATACTCCCCACCTCTTGATCGCTATCCAAAAATGATACTGCAGTGTACTGCAACTATAGTCAGAGCAATCATTTTTTGCTGTTGAACACTGAAAGGTCTGCAGAGAATCAGTTCCCCTGATCTTAACTGCCTCCTGGACCCATCTGTGCACCCACAGATACATCCCCAAACACACACATCGGAACCAGCTGCTCCACGAGCCCGCTATGACACGCCAGCCACATGCAGCTGCAGCACCCAGGCAGGAGGGCTGGCAGTCAGGACAAGCACGCAAGACCACACAGCTTCATCTCCAAGCTCCCAGGAGTCACATGCCCCAAGCACCCCTTCTCATCGCTGCGCTGAACAGCAAGTCCTAGCACCCTTTCACCAGGGGCCTGAAAACTAACGGCACAGCAGAACTGGCAGGACTGACACCCACCAACCAAACTGTAGCCTGGGGTAAAGGCATTCCCACACCTTATGCATTGGGAAGTGACGGGGTAAGGCTCCTACCCAGTACTTCCAGTACGTGAACAATCTTTTTAGAGCCCAGCCAGACTACTGATATTACCAGAAGCAGGCAGTGAATGCTGCTACCATAAACAAGTACCCTGAGAACAAAGAAAAACAATGCTTAGCCACTGCCCCAGACCAGACACTCACCTCTTCTCCTTTACTGAGTCGATCAACTAACATGTGCCTGGAAAGAGAGCAAGGGAAGCCCGGTCACAAGCAGGAAGCCAGAATCAGCAGAAAAGCACAAGCTGTCAAGAATGGCCAGATGCTGGAGCCTCCAGGTAAAAAAAGGCATCAGCCCCTTTTGTCACAGCTCCTTTGGAGCTGGCTGCCCCCGCATCCGCCCTTGGTTGTAAGCAAACACCACAGA